TGGCAAATTGAGATGAGTAGAAACCATTTTTTATTAAGTTGCATTAGTGTTATTTTTTTTCTTTTTAAATATTTTTAGATCTATTTTTAAAAAAATATTTTAATCTTTTGTATTGGTTCTTTTAAATTGTATTGTATTGGTTCTTTTAAATGACAGTAGAATCCATTTTGACATATTTATAAAAGCATGGGATATACCTTGTTTTAATTCAGTCCCCAATAATTGATAAATAGGAATCATACATGTTTTGGGTGTACAACATGATATTTTGTGTATGTGTACATTGTGAAATGATCACCACAATTACCTCCCCTCATCACCTCACACAGTTAAACTTTAATTTTTGGGGAAGTGAGAATACTTTCCTCTTAAATTTCAAGTATACAATACAGTATTGTTAACTATAGCTACCATGCTGTAATCAGACATCAGGTATCACTTATCTTTTTTTTTTTATTAGTTCTTTTTAGAGATACATGACAGTGAAGTGTATTTTCACATATTGTACACATATGGAGGATAACTTATTAGGATCCTTTTCTTGTGGTTGTACGTGATGTGAAGTTACCTTGGTCATATATTCATTTACTAGGATAGAAAAGTTATGTCTGACTAATTCTGCATCCTTCCTATTCCCCCCACCTTCCCTTCCCTTCATTCTTCTTTTTTTTAATCCAGTGAACTTCTATTCTTCCCCTCCCCACAATCTTTGTTGTGGGTTAAAATCCACATATTAGAGAGAAATTTGACCTTTGGTTTTTGGGACTGGCTTATTTCACTTAGCATGATATTCTCATGTCCCATCCATTTACCAGAAAATTTCACATTTTATTCTCTTTTAATGTTGAATAATATTCCATTGTGTATATATACCACTGTTTCTTTATCCATTCATCTGTTGAAGGGCAAATAGGTTGGTTCCATAGCTTGGATACTGTGAATTGAGTTGCTATAAACAATGATGTGGCTATGTCATTGTAGTATGCTTATTGAAAGTCCTTTGGGTGTAAACTGAGGGGTGGGATAACTGGGTCAAATGGTGGTTCCATTGCTAGTTTTCTGAGGAATTGACATGCTGCTTTCCAGAGTTGTTGCTCCAATTTGCAGTGTTGCCAGCAGTGTATGAGTGAACCTTTCCCCCCACATCCTTGCTAACATTTATTGTTACTCGTGTTCTTGATAATTGCCATTCTGATTAGGGTGAGATGGAATCTCACTGTAGTTTTAATTTGTAAGAAATCACTTATCTTGATGAGGAAGCTTCATAACCTCTGAGAAACACCTCCAGTTTTCCCCTACCCTCCTGTCCTGATAACCAGCATTCTGCTGTTTGATTCCATGAGTGGAATTATTTTGGGTATGAGTGATACCATGCAGTATTTGTCTTTCTCTGTCTGACTTACGAAACTTAGCATAATGTCCTTCCGGGTATTCCTTTGTTTTCACAAATGATAATATTTCTCTCTTTGTTATAATATTTCTCTCTTTGTTAGAAGAAGATAATATTCTATCTACATACATGCATCATGTTTTCTTTATACAATCATATATCAATGGTTACTTAAATCATTTTCATATGTTGATTTTTGTGAATAATGCTGCAGTGAACATGAAAGTGCAGTCTCTTTGGGATCTATATTTTATATATATAAAATATGCATAATGAAATATGCATAATTAGAATTTCTAGATGATATATCTATTTTTAATATTTTGAGGATGCTGTCTACTGTTTTTCATAATGTCTGTGCCATTTTTCATTCCCATTAACTGTGTACAAAATTCCCTTTTCTCCATTGAGTTGTCTATACTTGTTACCTTCTTGATAACAGCCATTCAAATAGATGTCAGGTCGAATCTCCTTGTGATTTGATACGCATGTCCCTGATGACTTGTATTATTGAACCCAGGAGGTATTTGAAAATGTGCTTTTTTTTGTTGGCTAAGTTATATGTGTGTTTGTTTGTTTTATTGTTTGGTTTGGCACTAGGAATTGAACCCAGGGTTGCTTTACCACTGAGTTACATCCCCAGCCATTTTTTTTTTTTTAAATTTTGAGAACAGTTGCTTAGGGCCTCACACTTATTATCCTCTTGCCGCCACCATCAGAATGGCAGGGATTGCAGGCATAAGTCACCATGCCTTGAATTTTTTGATATTCACCCTTATCAGATAAATGAGACACAGTAAAAGTGATACTGTTAAAAATTCATTGTATTCAAAGCCTACCTTAAAAATAAGAAAGAACCTCAAATTAAAAACCTAACTAAAAACCTCAAAAGCTAGAAAAAGAACCAATCAACCTAAGTTAGCAGAAGGAAGGAAATAATGAAGAATAGAATGGTTATAAATAAATCAAATAATGAAGATTTTAATAAGAGAAAAATATTTATAAAACTTTTGTTTTTTTATAAAATTAAACGTAATTGACAAATCCTCAGCTGCAAACCCTCAACTACAAAACACCTATGAAAGAAATCAAAGAATATCTAAATCTAAATATGTGAGGAGGTAACCCACAGCCAAGAACCAGAAAATGCATTAGTGTGAAGATCTCAAAATTCCAAGTTGATTGAAAGAACAGTTCCAAACAACAACAAACCAGTGAGTTTTTTTTCTGTTTTTGAGAATTTGACAAGTTGATTAAAAAATGTGGAAATGTAAAAAGCTAGGATAGCCAAAATAATTTTGAAGAGGAAGAAAATTAAAAGACTCACAGTACCTGATTTGTACATGTGCTGTATGGCATTAGAGAAAGGATGCACATAGAGATCAACCAGACACAACAGAGCCCACAAACAGACCMTTGCCTGGGTGATTTTGTTGACAAAAATTGCACAGGTAGTTCAATGAAGAAATGGTAATCTTTTCAACAAATGATGAGGAGGTAATTAGATATCCATTTTCAAAGAGCGAACTTTGGTTAATACCTCACAACATAAAAATTAAACTGATTGCTTATAGACCTAAATGTCAAACCTAAGCCTATAAAATGTCTAAAAGGGAACATAAGAGAAAAATTTTGTGACATTGGGTTAGGAAAAAGTTTCCTAAATGTAGAAATAAAACCATGATCAATAAAAGAAAAAATGATGAATTGTACTCCAGTAAAAATGGCAAAATCTGCTTTTCATTGGACACTTTCAAGAGAACAGATGACAAGCTGATAGACCACAGAGGGGCAGAGAGTAATTGCAAATTACAGGACCAAGTAAGAACTTCTTCTCAAAATGTTTGATATGCACATGAATTCAATATTAGCTTCATAATGTACACAGAAGAACTGAAGAGATGTTTAACCAAACAAGATAACTAAACCACAATCAAGCTATGAAAAGATGCTCAATATAAATTATTCACTCAGAAAATTAAAATTAAAGCCTTAAGATGCAATAACTGCAAAACAATTAAGATGATTAAAAAAATGTAAACTCAACAGTTCCAAGTTCTGACAAGGATCACTTGTTGAACCTGAGAATGTTATTTGTTGATAGGTAGGAAGCAAAAATCTACAATCTGGAAAATAATTTTAAAAATCCTCATAAAGTAAAAAAAAAATTCTTGCCATAAAAACCTGTCTCTTCTACACCTAGGTATTTATCTGAATGTAGTGAAAACATATATTTATTCAAAAATCTATCAGTAATAAACATGTACATACATTCATATTAAAGCAATTATTCATAACTTCAAATATTTGGAAACAATCTGAATAATTCTAACTGGGAAAGGTCTAAACAAACTTATAAATCCATAATTGGAACACTACCCAGCAATAAAAATGAATGATCGATTTATGCCCACACATTATTATTATTAACCTCACACACATTATACCATGAGAAGAAGACAGATCCAAAGACTACATATCTCTGTATGTCATATTCTTGGAAAGGCAAAACTAGAAGGGCAGACATGGGTTGGCTTTTGCCAGAATCTTCAAGAAAGGGAACAGGCAACTTCAAAGTTGCACAGGGAAATATTTTAGGGTGCTCAGACACTGGGCCTACTGATAGTGTCAGTGGTTTATACAGCTAAAGTGCTTGTCAAAACTTAAAGAACAAAACAAAGGTAAATGTCCTCTATCTAAACCATCTATACTTGGAAAATACAATAGAAGTCAAGATCTCATTTACAGAACTAACATAAAAGACAAACTCCAAAGGACTAAATTTTAAAGAATCATACCAGATATCTGTGAAAGAAATATAAGGCACTACTGACCATAACAGAACCCAAATTTAGGCATAAAAATTACTTTATTGCAGAATTATTTGTTATTGAAAAAGGTTGGGAGCAACCTGAAGAGGACTTGATGCTAATTTTATAAAAATCTTTATAAGGTGTTATATAATAAAAGGAAAATTGAAAATGTGGTGCAGCTATGTGGACCATAATAGGAAGATGGCCAAGAGGCTGAGAGGGAATGCAAACTTTCATAGATAAAAATGTAGTCACTTGTGCTTATGTGTCAATATGCCTGTATGAGAGTGAAAATTCTCATTTGAAGAATCTCCGAAGAGCATTTCAGTTACTGCAGCTCAGAGTGGCACTAGGAAACTTTGTGCTAGATGGGAAGATTTGCTCCACAATTGTATCATTTATATGGGTTCTTTGTTTTTGGTTTGTTCTGTATTTGGGGTGATAGGGATTGAACCTGGGGCCTCATGCATGCTGGACAAGCATTCTACCACTGAGCTACCTCCTCAGGCCCTAGGTTCCATTTTTTAATATTTATAAGTATCTATTATACTTATCTTTTATATTTCAAAAAGTAAAACTTTACACTGAAAATCTCATGTTATATAATTCAAATCAAAATAATGTAGAATTAAATATTTAGCAAGCAAAATAGAAAGAATCAACATAAAAGAATCTAAAAATAGAAGGATTACAAAATAAGGAATAAAATGAGTAGAGAAAATCAGTGTAATGCTATATAAATTGCACATTTATTGACTCTGCTCTATGTACATTACAAGTTTCCAGATGCAACTCATTTATTTTCTATCTGATATGAATTTTCCTCCCCAGAGTCTCTTCATAGCATTTGTCATCTCTGAATTTCTCAGAGTGTAGATGAAGGGGTTTAGCATGGGGGTTATGACTGTGTAAAACACACTCAATGACTTGTCAATGGGGAAAGTCTTGGCTGGTCTTGTGTATATGAAAATACAGGGAACAAAGAAGAAGACAACCACAGTGATGTGGGAACCACAGGTGGAGAGAGCTTTCCGCCTCCCTTCTCGACTCAAGTTCTTTAGAGAGTGCAAGACAATGGCATAAGACACGAGTAAGAGCAGAAACACAGTTGTGCAGATGAGTCCTCCATTGGCCATCACTAAGAGGCCAATGACATGGGTGTCAACACAGATGAGTTTCAATAAGGGATACATGTCACATATAAAGTGGTCAATAACATTGGGGCCACAGAATGGGAGTCCATAAATGGTGCTTAGTTGAATTATGGAGTGCAGAAATCCTCCAACCCAGGAAACTACCAGCAGCACAACACACACCCATGGCCTCATGATAAGCAAATAATACAAAGGCTTACAGATGGCCACATAGCGGTCATAAGCCATCGCCAACAGAAGAAAGGCCTCTGATCCACCTAAAAAGTGTCCTGTAAAAAGCTGAGTCATACAAAACTTAAAAGATATGGTATTTTTCCCAAAGAACAAGTCCACAATCAATTTTGGCGAAGTGACTGATGAATGAATGGCATCCATAAATGATAAGCTAGCAAGAAAGAAGTACATTGGTGAGCCCAGGGTCTTACTGAAGGCTATGGTCATAACGATGAGGAGATTTCCAGCCATGGTCAAGATGTAGAAGAGCAAGAACATAGCAAAAAGTACTTTCTGCTCCTTTGGATTCTGTGTGAGGCCCAAGAGGACAAAGTAAGTTACATTATTCCTCTGTTCCATGTATTCTTTTATTGGTGATGACTTTGGATATTAAAAGCAGCTTACCTACGAAATAAGGAAAAAATACTTAGAACTATCACAATCTTAATCTTTATTCATTAACCCACTTATCATATGTATGTGTGTGTGTGTGTGTGTGTGTGTGTGTATAAGTGTGTGTGAAGTTATATGTTTATATGTATATATCATCTGTCTGTGTCAAGTTACCTGCTATAGATATCTAGGTTAACAAGTGGAATTAGACAAAGTTTTCAGTCTTGATTTGATACACAATGATGGGGGTCAGTATTTAAAGACCAAATAGAGATGTACAATAGTAAATTCACTTATTTATGACATACTAAGGATTAACACAACTGGAATTTCTAAGCTGACTTGGATGTGAAAGAGTTTATCACAGGAAGCAATACTTGAATTAATTTTAAAGAAGAAATGATATTACAAGAGGGAATGAGAAGGAAATTCGATGAGAAAGTGCATCATGTGTAAAGCCACATGATGTGACACTGAAGACCCACTTAAATAAGTTACCTGTTTATAGTGAGTAAACTAAATGACATAAATTGGGAGTATGAATCAAAACCAGTAGTTGCTAGTGCTGACTTTAAAACAATACTTGTCTTTCCTGTACTTTCCAATAACATGTCCTTTGTGTTCACAGGACGCCTCAACCACAAGCATCTGCTATTGATTTTTCTAGGAACATTCTGTCCACAATGAGGAATGCTTTCTCTAGGATGATGGGAGCTTTCACTAGAGGTCTCCTCTTTCCTTTCTAAGTCCTCACCAGAATCTTCTTTGGATGTTCATATTTCTATCCATAGTGCCTTTAAGCCAACCTAAGCTATTTTTTTCATGTATCCCCAAAGTCTTTCAGCATCTAACCATTACCCAATCCCAAGCTACTTCCACATTTTTTAAGATATTTATTGCACCAGCACTACAGTTCCCAGTAGCAAAATCTGTGTTCTTTTGGTAGGGCTGTTATAAAAAAGAAGCACAAAGTGGGCGTTATTAACAACAGCAGTGTCTCCCGTGAGGGAAAGCACTGTTCTAGGCCTCTTTCCTTGGATGGTAGGTGACCAACGTTGCATGTATCATTCTCCCAGTGTCCACATGTCCCCTTCTGATATGTCTATTATAAGTGGTGCCCACCCTAAAGACTTTATATTTTCACTTGAGTACCTCCACGAAGACCCTGTGCCTAAACAAAGTCACACTCTGAGGTACTGGAGGTTAAGACTATAACACATAAATTTGAAGGGAAAAGAAGAGGCACAATAAAACCATACTTCTTTCATGTGACACACTGTGTGATCCCTATTATCACAGTTTCAGATATCCTGCTAATTCATTTAACTCCCTTATTAGTGTCTTTATTTGGATTACTCTCTTTCTCGTAACCTAGAAATGAAGAAAGCACTGAAATTGTCTATCTTCAACACAATCTCTCTCAGAATAGTATCTGCAATTAATGAATTGACATCTCTAGTTAGGTGCCCATGTGGTATGTACAAGTAATTTATTTATTTATTATTATTATTATTACAATAAATCTCTTCCTTCTAATGAAATGATACTTTCTTCCCTGCTCTTTTTCAGTTCAAGTTCTCATAGTTCTCAAGTTCTAGGAAAAAAATAGCATTATTCCTTGAGGATGTTTTTGAAATCATATGGCTTTATCTTCACTCCTTTATTCCTCTCATGTTACTCAATTATATATTTAATAAGTTCTATTGAATCTTTCCTTATAAATAGATTGCAAATCTGATCATTCTCATTATTATTATTATTACATCCCCTGTCTACTGCAGTTGACCCCATGAGGTCTATTTAGTTTCATTTTAGCCTTCAACAAGTACCCCAAATTATCTTTTTTTTTTGAGAGAGAGAGGAGAGAGAGAGAGAGAGAGAGAGAGAGAGAGAGAGAATTTTTTAATATTTATTTTAGTTTTCAGCAGACACAACATCTTTGTTTGTATGTGGTACTGAGGATCGAACCTAGGCTGCACGCATGCCAGGCGAGCGCACTACTGCTTGAGCCACATCCCCAGCCCTATCTTTTTAAATATTATTCTGATTATATTACTCCTTTGCTCAAAACCCCTACAAGATATTCCTACTGCATGCTCATTAAAGTCCATTCTCCCTACCTTGACTTAGAAACCACCGATGACTGGAATCCAGGCCACTGCCCAAGTTCATCTCTTGCAATTCTCCATGTTCATCTGCTCAAGTCAGTTTCTTCTTCTCAAATACCCAAAATGATTTTCCATTTCCACAGTTCCATTATTCTTTGGTAGATGCCAACTTCAGAGAGCAGAGGCAGATATCACAATCTCTAAAATAATGTTAAACATTGTGCAAATTTTGTAGTATGTCCAGTGTTTTACATACTCATCAAACAACAAGCATTTGAAGAGAACCTACCTGTGTCATGCATATCAAATGAGGTGGACTTCAGGCCATCCAAATGTGTCCACTAGTTCATCAAGTCTCTGGGGTCTACACCAGGGTCCATGTCATCAAATGACAGAAATTTTGATGTTGACTGAGGAATCAGCTTCTTGTCATGAGTCTTCTACTTTTTCCAGATGGAAACCTAACTACTGAGGTCACAAATGGGCACTGACTTAATTTTTCAAATATATTCATGACAACTATCATATACTACTTGACAAGCCACTCTCTGTCTGCCAAAGATTTTTTTAAACATTAAATTCTTATAAATACAAGTGATTTAACTTCCTATGTAATGAAAAATTCTCATAATCACAAAGTTTGGTTTTTGCTCATTATTGTAAAGTCTTATCTTTGAAAGATTATTCACAGTTTGGAGAATCTTTATGCCCTTTTCATGAATACAGGGACATCCCTGTCCCATCTAGAAAAAAAATTGCATTATTCCTTGAGGATGTATTTGAAATCATATGGCTATATCTGTATATTTCCCCCAGATTTATAAATATTGCGGAAACCATTACTTGCATTGTAAACCTATTTCAAAGGAATTCCATGGTACAAGCAAAAATTAAAACTTTCTTTTATAAAATAATTTATAAAAAATACAAATTGTATGTATCCCAAAGAAGATAACAGTTAACCTTTTTAACATGTAAAGTTTTCTAAGTTCTTTTCCAGTAACTTTTATAAGGTTACTAGAAATAACTACCATCCAGCCATTTATCCCATCTTCTCTATTGTGTTGTTATGGCCAGATACTTGTATTTGAGAATAGAAGATAACATTCTTGTGCCTTTTGTAAATCATGCTGTAAGCATACTAAAACATCTTAAACTGAAATAATTATATCAGCTACTGAGAGAACAGCATCTTCTACTCAACAGGGGCAAAGATCACTGAACATTTTATACCATGAAAGCACAATAATCATGGAGTCCTGCGAATGGAGTGTGTCCAAGACTGGTTTGTATTTAATTGATTTCACTGGGATTTTCCACAAATTTTCAAAAGAACACCTATCATTAGATTGATCACATAACTAGGGTCAGGAAGATTCAACCAGGAAAATTATCTCAACAACATTGTGGGACAATTGGCAGTCATGTTTAAACTACCAGTCCTATTAATTTGCTTCACTGAAGATGGATTTATCAATTATTTCCCTGCTTTGCCAGGGAAAAATAATTTTTCATCTATCTCAATTTTTCCTGCCTGTTAGTGTGGGATTGCATATATTTTAAAATGTAGTTTTTTAGTTTTATAAAGTACTTAAGCATCTGTTTGTGTTCATTATTTTAAAAATATTTAGTACATCTAATTTGTTTCAAGCTCTGTGCTATTAAGACACAATAATTAATAAAATAGAAAGTATTAGAACATGTTACTAACTACATAGTCCTAACTGCATTGGGTTTGTATCTTGTAATTAAGTCACAAAAATGGGGCTATCTATAAAAGTAATTGTAATCTGTGATCAGTATTAATAAGAAAACCAACAGGTTATTGTGAAGGAAAATAGAAGTGAAATACTCTGTAAATAAGGTAATGATAAAAAGCCCCTTTTAAGGGTGAATATTTAAACTGAAGTCCAAAGGATGAGACATTAGTAGCTTCTATGGGAAGCACTGTTATATGTGGGAAGATCCAATGTTGTAAAGGTCTAGGCAATTTCATAACACTGAAAGGTCACTGTACCTTAAAGGGAATAGGGTAGGGAAAAGACAGAACAAAGTGAAATAGAAGACACAGATAAGAACCAACTTAAGGCATTATAGATCTTACTAATAAATTTGAATTTTTGAGATTAAGAAGGACTTCTAGTTGCTAGAATTATAAAAATTTTCAACAATTATTAGCAAGTCAAATTAAAAGGTATAAGAAGAATAATACATCATGACCAATTGAGATTATCCCCACGTATGGAAGGTTGGTTCAATATCCACATGTCAATTAATATAACTCATCAGCCTACAGGATAAATAAAACACTATATCAACAGACCTAGAAAAAAATCATTTAAATAAAAACACTTCTTCATTGCAAAAGGTCTCAGTAAGAAAATGTCCTAAATTTAATAAAGAACATCTACAAGAAACATAAAGCTGATATCATCCCTAATAGTGATAAGCTAGATGATTCTCTGCTAAGACCATAAATAAGGAAAAGAAATTCCTTCTCACCATTGCTTTTCAACTTCATACTGGAAGCCCTAGCTAATGCAATAAGAAAAGGAAAAAAAAGAAAAGAAAAGATATGCTGATAGGAATAAATAAAACTGTCTTTGATGACAATATGATTACATGAAGCAAACCTAAGAAAAATCTACAGCAATCTGGAGCTAGTAAATGATTACAACAAAGCTGTAGGATATATGTTTAATGTTCAAAAGTCAGTCACTTTCTATGTAAACCAGAAATAACCAGTGGAATTTGAAACTAAAAACAATATCATTTACTTTAGCACTCCAGAATAATATATTTATGTGTATATAGAACAAATAGCTACAAAATTTAGATAAGAGAAACTACAAAGTGCTGATGAACAAATCAAAAGACTACATTAATGAAGATAAGTTTCACATTCAAGGACAGAAACACTCAAAATGTCCATTCTTCACAGTTTTGATCTTTTCATCCAATGCAACTCTAATCAAACTCCTGTAAACTGATTTCAGGATACTGACAAACTATGAAATTATATGGCCAGGCAAAGACTCTGAATAGGTAAAAAAAATTTGAGAAAAGAATAAATTTGGATCACTACTACTACCTAACTTTAAGACTATAATAAAAAGTTATGTAACAAGACAGTTGAAATGTAAAGGAATAGGCAGTAGACTGCAGAATAGATACATATGTCTGTGACTTCACAAGACAGTTTAACAGTTTCTTATAAAGCTAAACATAATTCTAACATAAAAGCAAACAACTGGGCTCCAATGGTGATTATCCAAAAGAGTTGAAAACTTATACCCATATAGAAACACGTGCATAAGTGTTTGTAACAGCTTGTTATTGCTAACACTTAGAAGAAACAGATTCCTTTCAGTAGGTTAATGAATAAATAAAATGTTACATCCAGACAATGAAATTTTTTCATTACCAAAAATAATGAGCTACTGAGCCATGAAAATAAATAAATGAAAGTTAAATATACATTACCCAATGAATGATGTCAGTATGAAAAGACTACATGTTATACATTTCCATCTACTTGACATAGAAATGGAAAAACTGGAGAAAGTAAAAAGACTAGTTGTTGTCACCAATTGGAGGGAGAGATGAACAGATGAGGCACAGAAGACTTTTAGTTCAGTAAAATTGTGCTATAAGGTACTATAAGAGTAGACTGGTGCCATTACACATTTTTCCAAGACCATATAAGCATAACACCAAGAATAAACCCTAATGTAAGCTACAAACTCCTGATCAGATTGAAGTGTCATTTGCATGTTAATCAATTGTCAAAAAGTTTATTCTGTCATTTGAATGTCCTCAAAATTTCATGATAAAAATAAAGAGTTGATAAGTGAAACCTTTAAGAGAGTTAATATAGATTAATGCGTAATAGTGGAAGTGGGTTAACAGGGGATGGAAATGTAGCTCAGTGGTAGAGCACTTGCCTGGCATATATAAGGCCCTGCATTCAATCCCCACTAAACTAACACACACACACACATACACATACACACACACACACACTTACTTTTAATTTCTTCACCATGTATATTAAAACATCATATTTATGTCTTAAGTTTACAAATTAAAAAACATAATGTTATAAATGATGAGAGTCAATGATGTAAGTAAGGGAAGCATTTTTTTTTCTTTTTAAATTTAGGAAATCTTCCATTAGTAAGCTCAAAATCAAATCAGAGGAGCTACTCTAGATTTTCAATCAAGTCACATGCTATACTATGTGGGTTGCTGTTTGATTCATTTGTGTTTCTATTTCAAAACTAACCACAATAACCAGGATGTCAGGTACTTGGTAAAAATTAAATATTTGACTAACTGACTCTGGTATCAATAATGTTCCTACTTTCTAGCTTCCTCACTGTCCTTTATTTCTGATTTTCTTTCTATGTGCAGGTCATAGACCTGGGTATTCAACTTATGGTAGGAACAAATATCTCCTAATGGGATAAATAAAACCCATCTGTGAGATCCATTGCCAGCCATGGTGACAATGAGGAGCATGAACATCCTGAACACGTCATTAGTTTCCAAAATGTGAGTTTATAAAATTCCAAAACTACATTTCTCCATTCTCTGCCCTTGTAAACAGACATGTGACTTAGGTCCTGCCAACTAGTAGCATCTGTGAAGTCTATAAGTTAGAAACTAGTTATGAGACTGAATTCTTCTATGACAACAATGTTTGAGTGGTTCTGAGGTCAGGGAAGCAGTAGTACCTTTGAGTTTGCCAGTGGCCAACTGGTCATGATCCCAGCACCTCAGCACTCTCCCCAGCAGGTCTATCCTAGCAGATGTGCTTCTGTGAATTATTCCTGTCTGTTCACCACTCTGTGACTCTAACCCTTCCAAAGGTTCTTTAGGTTTTCTAACTGCACATTATAAATCTCTTATAGTTAAACTACCAATGATGCCAAGTCGGCAGCTAAGGACCCTGGTTGATATACTAAACCGACCTGAGAATCCCCATTTCACTTGGTTACAAAGAAGGGAAAGTCACCAATTTCAGAAGCATTCTAGTTACCAATGGTCCCTTTAAAAAAATGTATTTACTCTTAAAAGAATGAAGGGACGATGAAGACCATTTATTCAGTAAATATTTTTTCTGGCATTTACTCTGTACCACGTTTATTCTAGATGCTGGGATTCTGGGAGTGAACAAAACAGTTGATGCCTCCACTTGGACAGAGTGATGGGATAGGAGGTAACTCAGAGAATGGCTCTGCGTGGTAGTGGAGACCTCTAAACTGCAGACTGAGCCATGGCATGGGCCCAGCCGCAGCAG